AGACAGAATTACTCCATCTGAATAGAATAGTATTGCGAGGAATACCAGTTCACAAGAAATCGTACGATGTAAGGTGAAACCTTACGGTCTACTAGTTTGCTAAACAGTGTCCAGTGGTTGACTTTGTCAAAAGCTTTTGACGCATCAAGAAAACAAACAAAGACATTGCTACCGAGAGAGTTATAGTGACGAATAATCTCTTTTAAAACGAAAACACAGAAATCCGTAGAATGATTCTTTTTAAAACCAAATTGATTGCTGGTAGTCATGAGGTAGAGTTCACACCTCAAATAATTTAGACACTTATAACACACATGTTAATAAGGATATCACTTGTAAAGATGAATACTATTTCGTGTATATATTACATGTATATTGCATATATTATTACTTTGATGACTTTTTTCAACTTGCTGTTTTGTTATCATTGTTGTTGTATTATTTTACCTGCTGTTCATTTTTTGTACCATGGGCCCAGGGCCCAGGGTCCATGCCTTGTTGTGAAATGAATTACACCGATAACCTTGAAATAAATAAACAACTGTTCCAAAAATATAAGTGAGATTATTGATCACTGACTCACACCAAACAAAAATTCTTCTCGATTTTTGAGAGAATGTCAAGAGTTTTCATAACAACAGGTGCTGCCATAGACACACACAAATTTCTACAGAGAACAAAAGGACAATGTTAACGTAATTCACGCCTTTTACTGGCATACAACGAGTAACGCCAGGAAGTTGTATGGTCGGCCTTGTTGAAACGTTTGTTTGACCACTATTGAATTGCTCAAAGTGTAGTAAGTGTTCTAAAACTGTCATAGTAAATGTGCTGCTAAAATGTGGGATGTTTACTATTTAATTGTTTATTTATTTATTTATTTATTTATTTATTTATTTATTTATTTATTTATTTATTTATTTATTTATTTATTTATTTATTTATTTATTTATTTATTTATTTATTTACTTATCTATATCATACACACTTTCTTACTTTTTATTAAATAATAGATTCTCAAAGACAATCATTCTGTCTCAAATACAAGTTACAGGTATTGGTCAGCCCAACAATAATCTCCAATTTTCAGCTTTTTGACAATCATTCCCATACTTTGTATTATTTATACATTTGTACTATATTTATTAAAGAATAGCATTTTTATGTTGTAATATAAATTTTTATGTAGTAATATAAAACAATCCTGTTGCTGTTACAGTCAATGATAGGATAGTTAGGTTATCATATTTTCAATGGTATTGAATATTGAAAGGTAGCTAGGATACTATTGTCAACTGAAAGATAATTAGGATACTATTGTCAATTGAAAAGTAGCTAGTAAGGTAACTTAGATACTATTGTCAGTTGTAAGGTAGCTAAGATACTACTATCAATAGTAAGGTAGCTGGGACACTTTTGGCAGTTGTAAGGTATCTAGGATAATATTGTCAATAGTAAGGTAGCTAGTAAGGTAACTTAAATGCTATTGTCAGTTGTAAGGTAGCTGGGACACTTTTGTCAGTTGTAAGGTAACTAGGATACTATTGTCAATTGAAAAATAGCTAGTAAGGTATCTAGGATACTATTGTCAATTGAAAGGTAGCTGGGACACTTTTGTCAGTTGTAAGGTAACTAGGATACTATTGTCAATAGTAAGGTATCTAGGATACTATTGTCAATTGAAAGGTAGCTGAGACACTTTCGTCAACGTAAAGAAAACTAGGATACTATTGTCAGTTGTAAGGTAACTAGAATACTATTGTCAATTGAAGGGTAGCTGAAGTGAACCATCCAAATACTTCATTTCATGGTCACAAACTAACTCAGTTATATGTCAGTAATGAGAGTTTCAAGTCAGGTTGAGTGGCTGTGGTTTCAGTTCAGACTATAAATGTACAGATAAAAGTACCGTATGGTACATCCCTGTCAAATATACACTTGGCAATATGGTTATCAACTTCTTTCATAATACACTATAAACTTAAGTCATGGTCAGAGATAGTGGATTGTAGCAGAGGACATGATCGTTACTAACATTAATGAAGGGCGTTGTAAATGTCACCTCTGATAGCAATTGACCTGTCAGAGAGAAAACTGCCAATCCATGTCACTCTGACCTCTGATCTGTCGAGAGAAAAATAACAATCCAATAATGAATTGGATGGAAACCATACTTGATTAAAGCTCTTTGAAATGTCGAGGGAAATCGCTCTGCTTTCTCTAAAGTAGTACCAAACAATAGAATCTCCTTCACATTTAACATTCATGGATATACAAACTTCATACCATTATGTTCATATTATAGGAATTTGTTTATATTTTGTTTAGTTTTTTTGTACCTTGAGTAGAGGTGTTGTATCTTTACAGAAGGGTCTACCCTTGTGTGTAGATGGAGTGTCTTGTCTGACCCTGGCAATGTTTACGAAATAATCAAGTCGTTCATTTAGAAGGTGACAATATTTACTGGCGTTCTTATGCAAAGCCAGAAATCTTTCTCTTGGATCGCGCCGTCCACGTGAACTGCCATCTGCATCAATGCATGTTTCATACACTTGCTTCACCGATTTCTGCATGGTATGTAGATCTTCCTGAAAATTGTTCCCATATTCTTGTACCTTTCTCCAAAATGTTTGGTTAAAATGGTTATAAAGCATGACGTCTGCTGCATTCCAAGCCCTGATTTTGGCCTTCATCTCATCAGTGAGGTTAAATCGTCGAGATTCTTTACGCAATCCTTTGGGGAGATACATCATACTATCGGTATCCCAACAAAGTATCTGTTTCATCAACACAAGAGATTCGTCAAAGTATTCAGTCATCATAAAAAGATCAAATTCTCTATCAAGCTGTTCAATCTTCTCCAACACACGAGTTGTATTGTCATGGAAATGGTGATCAAGTCCAAGTGAATACATCATTCCATTTTTTAGTTGAATGTACATGAATGGGCGCTTGTTAAAATAGTAATCAGGGTTTTCTAAAAATGCCTCAATCGGATTGGGATGTTTATCCAACTTTAATTGTTTGTCCATTTTATAATATCCAAACACTGATTCAAACCTTGCAATTGGGTCTCGGAGGATAGTTAAATATGTAGCTTGTGGTACAACTGCATCCATTTCGGTTCTAGCAAACCTAGCATGATTGGCAAGTATATTGAACACACTAGCTGCACTCGGATTACTGACCATTCTACGATTGAAAGGTTGAAAGAAACAAAATTTTCCAGTGGTGTGGGGTAGGGCAAATGTTAGATTATTGACATATGCATATCTTTGAATAATTGTATTGCTAGTAGTGCTGGCCGTTTTATGCGTCTTCAAAAACACTATTTGCTGGACTGGTTTGCATGTGTCATCATGTAAAAACAAGGATGTGACTTCATTCCTGCAACAATAAAACCATACATATTAGATAATAGCAATGACATTCCTTGTTGATTTTAGTGATTATGTAGATGTATTTATTGTAAAACAAATAGTAAGCTCATGGCTACCATATAATATACACTAAAATGTAACTGTGGACAAACAGGCAGGTTATCTGTCGACTGAAGGTAGATATTTGCTATAAAGGTAGATTATCTATTGGCTGAAGGTACACAGTGGTAGGTAGGTTATGTCTTGGAAGATAGTAGAGAATGGTCGCAAAGGTAGGTTATGTCTTGGGAGATGGTAGAGAATGGTCACAAAGGTAGGTTATGTCTTGGGAGATGGTAGAGAATGGTCACGAAGGCAGGTTATGTCTTGGGAGATGGTAGAGAATGATCACAAAGGCAGGTTATGTCCTGGGAGATAGTAGAGAATGGTCACAAAGGCAGTTTATATCTTGGGAGATGGTAGAGAATGGTCACAAAGGCAGGTTATGTCTTGGGAGATGGTAGAGAATGGTCACAATGGCAGGTTATGTCTTGAGAGATGGTAGACTATGGTCACAAAGGCAGGTTATGTCTTGGGAGATGGTAGAGAATGGTCACAAAGGTAGGTTATGTCTTGGGAGATGGTAGAGAATGGTCACAAAGGTAGGTTATGTCTTGCGAGATGGTAGAGAATGGTAACAAAGGTGAGTTATGTTTTGGAGATGGTGGAAAGGGATCACATAAATAGGTTATATCTTGGGAGATGGTGGAGAACTGTCACATAGGTAGAATATGTCTTGCAAGGTGGTAGAGAATGGTCACAAAGGTAAGTTATGTTTTGGAGATGGTGGAGAAGGGTCACATAAATAGGTTATGTCTTGGGAGAGGGTGAAGAATTTTCACATAGGTAAATTATGTCCTGGGAGAATGTTGTAAAAACGACAAAAACAGTGTGTATGAACTTACACATTGGATGCTGGTAATGCTGGTAAACGTGGACGCGATATAAATAGATCTCTGTAATATACAATAATCAGGAGTAAACCACATATGCTATAAATGATAATTAGAGGAAAATGTCTTCTTGTCAGTTTACTTGCCATGTTTCATACCACGGACACTGGAAACTATGAGAGAAAAATGTTATAATATATAAACTATGACAATCATAGTAGCAATGAAGTACGCCCTCTATGTTGCTTTAACCCCTATATAAACACAGCTTGTTTCTCAAAGACTATAGTTATGTCATATTACGTTACTGTTAGTAATATTTTCTTATTTTCCTACTACACTTTGATGTAAGAGGTTTCTTGACTTTAGATTGGTCACAGTATGTGTATACGTGTGTTGTACTATACAATATAATTATATGGGAAAAGTAGCAAGCGCCTTCAAAATTGGTACACTTGCAATTCATAAACGTTTGCTATATTTTGGGGTCAAAGGTCAATATTACAGTACAGCTTTATGAATGTTCTTTTAAGTACTACAGGGAACTCGTTGAGGCCTTAAACTTGGCACATATTTTCCCCATGGGATTCGCAAAACAAGGGTATTTCTTCAACCAAAGATCAATTGTCAAGGTCATAGTATGAATTACAAGAGAGAATGACTAGGAACTTCAACCTTGGCACTGACGTCAAAGGTCAAAATCATAATATAAGTTTATATATTGTCGCAATTTATCTACAAGGAGCGAATAGCCATTGCCTGCAAACTTGACACAAATATTCCTCATGTTATCCCACTACATAGTTATTTTAAGGTCACATTGTATGTATGTGTATGTACCAATATAGTTCAAAGTACATGTAAATAGCAAACACATTGTTACTTTTTTATTTGTTGCGACCCTTTTGAATCAGGAGCGAACTATTTGAA